GGTCGGTTTGGCCTGTCAGTGGGTCGGTTTCGGTTCCCACCTTAGCTAACCCGACCAGGTCGGGTCGGTTGGGAAAATCCCAAGAAACCGACCCAAACCAACCCGTGAACACCCCTAATTGCAGATATCATATATACCCAACTTAGTGCATAGCTCTTCATGGCGATGGCACAGGGAAGTACATAGTACAATGACATTACTCGGGATCTACAACCCACGAGATGTTCCCACATCGCTACCCACAAGCCCCAATGGTATAGGATTTGAATCTCACACACCCAACTCAATGAGTAGATTTTTTCAATCATAATGGTTCAACAACACCTTAGGACATAGTCCTATACTTCACTTCTGCACTTAACTTTGCAACCACAAACCATTTCTTATTTTCCAAGAAACCAAATTTCCTCCTACAAAGGTGCAGTAACCAATGGTGGGCTATCTATCATCAAGAAAACCAATCCAACCAACATCATTATAACCTTCGACCTTGGTATGGCCTTGTTTTGTAAAGAGAAGACCCCTACTAGGGTGCCTTTTTCAAGGACATATAGATTGAACTCCCTCAATAACCATTAAGTGGGAAGGTCTAGGTGAATGCATAAACTGGCTCAAAACACTCATAGAAAATGCAACATTAAATCTAGTCATGGAAAGATATAGAGGACTCCTAACAAGTCTCTGATACTAATGAACATAAGAAATTGTTTTTTATATCTTTGTCTAAATATTTATCAAAATTTTTTTTCTACAAATTTATGTACTTTAATTTTCATATTTTTTATGTTTATATCTTTGTTTAAATATTTATAATTTAGTTACGACATCATGGTGGTTAATGCATTTGATCCAGAAGGTTGACCATTGACCTCCCACCTAGGTTGGAAAATCACATTTAGATCAACTATAACTTTATTAATTTCATTTACGTCATTAATAAAAAGGTTCAACTATGATACCAAAAAGGCATCGGATCTAAAAAACTTGTGACCAATCAACCAGAATATCATAAACATATTAACCAATTAAGTGGTATTTATCAAAATTCATGGGTGGCTTTTTATTGGTCAAAGCTTTTTGAGTTTCATGTCTTTCTAGTATCATAGATTTTCCTTTAACAAAAATAATTCTTGTTTATTACACACTTTTGTTATGACTAATATATAATATTAGATATGTGTCTAAGTTTTCATTTTTTTTGTTTTTTTCAATAATTTGTTTATGTTTTCTATTTAAAAAAAATATTATTTCATAAAACATTATGGGTGGACCAAAAAGACTACATTAGTTTGGGCTTCCGCATGGAGGTGGCCTAGTTACATTAGTCTGGGTTTGACTCAATTGGTTAGTTTTGTTACTTTGTTTTTCTATGGTAAGAGCATGTTGACGTGCCTTTTAGACATTGTAGCAATCAAATAAGTCTAATACATTCCAAATATTTGGTCTCAGTCCACCTATATACCTAGCCACAAATTGGTCTTCAGTTTCAGTTAATTCATTTTGAATCACGAACATATTAAACTTCTTTGTGTATTTAATCTACATTATTAGTTCCTTGATTTAGATTTTACAATTCTTAAAAGTGTAAATGAATATAATTAGGACAAATTTCTTAAACTACACTTATGGCCTAAGTAATTGACTAACTCTACCCTTACTGTTTTTATATTATCTTAAAGTACCCTTACTATTTTTGACAATTGATATCATCGTTAAGCACTAACAAAAAACAATGAAATGTCAAATTTACCCTTCACTATTCTTCAAACTTTCAAAATAAAACTCATTTGATGAAGATGGGTTTCTGTGTGATTTCAGTGCATAGAAACCACTTAAACTTTCCTCAAATTTGATTCGGACGCCTATAGATGGGTTGTCAGAAAACAAAACCCTATTGAACTCTAGCTCATATTTCAAACCGATACGGACAAATTTCGTTCCTCAGGTTTTGCTTCCGCCC